ACAGAATTGCGCTGCGGGCCAGAGCACACTTATTGAACTCAATGGCCAGTGTCCTGTTTCTAGGCTCAACTTAAAAGAGATCCACTGAAGCAACTACTGAATCTTTAAGTCCAAGCTTATGTAAATCCTACTAAAACAACAGGTCGATTCTAGCTGTAGCTAATACTAGTGGCTCATAAGGCTTATACAGGATTCCACTTGAAGTTATTCCCTAAAGGGGGGAAACGTTGATTTCGACAAAATTTAAATAAATTTGGAAAGAGGGCTTTAAAAAAAAAAAACAGACCACCATACACCACAGGATCTTTTCCCTTCCCATGTTTCTATTTCCGTGGGACACACTGACTACATCCATCTTTCCTTCCTACCTACCTACCTGCTATCTCGTAGAGAAAAGAACACGCCCTTCCTAGCTCCTACCTCACACACAAGTGAGAAGCCTTCGGTTCTCGTTTCACCACCACCACCACACACGGCTACCGAAGTCGCCCGCCCTCTCGACTCTCCGCTTTGTTTTCAGCGCCAAAGCGAAGTATCACCTCGAACTTCCCCGCGCTCGCGAGAAGTCAGCCCTATCGCCTGCCCTACAGATCGCGAGGAAAAGGCGGAGTTTTGGCCGCCGCCATTTTCTGCGATTCCCGCAGCCTCACGCACGCAGGCTCAGGTCAGTTTGGTTCTCCTTGAAAGGTTTTACCCTTGTCTTAGAAGCCCAGCGATTTGAATTTGGTTTTTAAAAAATGTTTGATTCGTACTATTATTATATGTAAATATCACGCGACATCTGAATAGGGTTGGAAGGAAAACGGGGGGAAAAAGCATGGGAAAAAAGGGGATTCCGTCAAAGGACAGGGACCGGAACACTGCCCAATCCCTCAGGCCGAGTTTGTGGTGTTGGCGCGCAGACGGTTTCCCACGGAGGGCGGGACTCGAGGACATAGCAGCCTCAGGAAGCGGAGAAGGATAGCTCGGGGAACCAATAGAGGTGCAGTGGCGAGGCCGGGGAGCCAATAAGCGAGGGTCCGTAGTATGTGAGAGCGCGCGCTCGCTGCCGTTTTCTGATCCTCTTTTCTCACTCCCGGAGGCGGCTTCGGTAGTGGAGTTAGCGGACTGTGTGGTAAGGAACCAGGAAGGCCTTCGTGTACAGATTTCCCCTGGCAGCTGACTTCCGTCCCGTGCCTTTAGGAGATACATTTTTATGTTCTGTGGGGCTTTGTTGTCGGCGCGTGTGTTTTAGCAAACAACGTGTGCATACTACATAATTGTATGAGGGGCGAATAACGTAGCGGGGAGGGGGCTAGTATTGTGGCAAAAAGGGAGCCCGTCGGGCCGTTTCTCATGACTGCCGTTGCATTTTCTTTCCCCTTCCCCCCCCCCCGGTCCTTTTCCCTGCCGGGAGCCCTTTTCCTCGGCCACGGTTTCCGCATTGGCTGCGGAAGAGAGCGGCACGAGTAAGGATATCTGCTAGTTTTGTGGCAGAAATCATGGCGGCTGGTTGGGGGGGGGGCGAGAGGCGTTTCCTTCCCTTCTCGGGCCTGCGGACACTGATCCTGCCCCGGCGACTCCACTATGGATGGTCCTATTTTCCTTTCCTAGGAGGAGAGAGACGGAGACACGCCAGATCTCCTTTGTGTCTCTCGGAGCGGAGGCGAACTGTCTCTTAAGAGAGCCGCCGCGTGGCGGTACTTCTTCCGCTCCCGGCTCCTCCTAGCAGCTCGTGATCGCCATTACAGCCGAATATGCTGTTACGGCCGCCATTTTTAGGTCCCGTTGCTTTCCTCCTAAATCAGCGTAAGATTATGCAACGGGGCGCCTAGGGTTCTCATTTTCTCATTTTGCGTGTCGCCTTGCCCTTCTTCCTTTTGAGAGAACGAACTCTTCCTATTACATCGAGCCCGCCAGAACCCTTGAAATTGGCAACTGAGTTTGCATAATTTGACCTACAGTATAGCCGAACTGCGACGAGGGAGGGATTAGATCCTTTCTGTTGTAACATAAAAAAAAGTAAAATTGCACCTGGGAGAATGGTTTATATGGGGGGGGGGGCTCGCGTCGTCCACGGATAAAATGGGTGCTCAGGTTCCAGGCGGTGTCTGTGAAATCCTTGTTGCTCCCTTTCGTTGCTAACAACATCGTTAGTTGCATTGCTGTAACATGTTCTTTTATGGTAAATTCCTAAATCCTTTTGGATTTGTGGTTGTTTATGATAGTTGCGATTAGCCTTGAAGACTGCGCTCCAGACACAAAGGGAGGAAAGGATTCGGGAATGCTTTTGTGACTACAAAGAGCAGGCCTATTAAAATTGGAAATAAAGCAACTTTTGAGTCTGTTTCCTTCAATTGCACTAATTTGTTATACTATTTTGTAAAGGAATATTAGTTGCAGTCACTTTTTTACTGTTGAATTAGGCTTTTTTTCTTGTGTAAACGCCTCTAATTGTGTAAACTGAACTGAATTCATTTTTGTATTTTTCAAGAGGCAGAATATCGCTGCTTTTAAAGATCGGATATAGGGGTGCATTTTGTGTATTAAATAAGATTTTGATAGCTTCAGAGTGGAAGTTTAAAACACTAAGTTAACACAAATTGCCAAAACTAGGCACATCATCTTTAATTGAAAACATCTCTGCATTCAGTATTGTTTCTCTAGTGAAATAAATTAGTGATAACTGAGTTTAAAACAATGATAGGTTGAACAGGTTGGGTGAAATAGATGTGTAGTGCTGAGTTAAGACCCAGTGTGTCATGGGATTGCAATTTTTTTTTCAGTTACTTTTGGAGAATAATATAATTGTTGATAAACAATTGCTTGTTTGATAATTATTCCATATCTTCATTCTGGAAACCTAATCTGTAAATGAGCAAGACCAACACTTAATGTATGTTGCTTTTCATAGGCTGTCTGATCTTTGATCCCGCCCAGAACACTTAAGGTTTGCTTGGCAAAGCTATATAATATTGGTGAGTGTTGTAAACCAAATGTGCCCTGTCCCATTTCTTCAGCAAGCTGCAGTTTGGTGTGTTCTTGAAGTACTTCAGTATGTTTATTATTTAACAGGTTTTATCTGAAGTGTAAGAATAATGGAGACAGAGCAGCAAGAGGAGACTTTTACTAATACAGAAACAAATGGTATGTTTTCTCATGGATAATTTAAAGCTTTTGACTACAGTTGTGACTGCATGGAATCTCTAGCAAGAGTTCATTAATACTTTGAATTGTGGCAGTTATGTCCTGTCTATACTGTAACTGGGCTCTTTGTAACAGAGTACAGTACTTATTACCTCATAGGTGTGTGTATGTTTTATATAATTCTATAAATGTTGTAAAAGTGGACTTCTAAAATAGCCGGGCTTCCTCTTCCACCATACCTTTTATATCAGCTGTGGAGGATCCTGTAATCATCTTGGCAGATTTGGTGGCCTATAGGATGAAGAGGAAATTAACTAAATTCAGATAGAAGCCTTTCAGCGTTGACTTAACTTGTGAAGCAGTTACTTTTATATTACGTTTTTTCAAAATTTCCAAAGATACTGCAGTTGCTCAGGATATTGAGTTTAGAATGTTCACTTACTGAATAGTGAACATTTAAAAGTTCATATAATATATAACTGATTTTTTTTACATTTAGAAGGTAATTTAACTTTAAATTGTAAAATTTTAAAATGAATATATAATATGAAATTGAAATTCATAAATAAAAGCTTTCGCTAGCAAGTGGTTGATGGTTGGCTTCTTTCTAACAAAAACGGGCAGTGAGTTTACTAAAAAGTTATACTGCAACCATATTTTATATGTTCATTGCACTAATGTAACCAAAATGATGTTTTAATAGATATATGTTATGAATGCTGTTTGGATTGTATAGTTTGTACTATAATTAATTTTGAAACCCAGTGTTGCATAACAGAAAGAGTGATAGACTAAGAATCAGGCTACCTGGATTTAGATCTGCTCGAATGTAGAACCTCATGGAGGTGTTAAGTCTACATGTGAAATTTTCAACTTCTTACTTTACAGACTATTAACTGATGTCAAAAGTACATCAGTTGCCCAGGGTTTTTCATTCTTTATTCTGTAAACAATAGGCAAACGTCCAGCTGAAGATATTGAAGAGGAGCAGGCCTTCAAAAGGTCTAGGAATACTGATGAGATGGTGGAATTGCGTATTCTGCTTCAAAGCAAAGTATGTTTTTTGCTTAATATATTTTGATATATATGTGGTATTGTTTAATTTCTTTGCTTGTATTGAAACTAATTTTCAGGATAATGCACAGAGATAGTCAGACAGTAGGTTTATAGCTTCTACTTAGTTTTGATTAAAACCCCAAACTTGATACAAAAGATATATTCTTTGAATTAAAGAATTCTGAGCTCCCAAGCATATTTTAAGTAGCTGACCAAAGATTCAGTCCTTTCACAAAAAAATACATTATTTCAGTCAAATGATGTGTTGTTTGGGTCAAGCCGTTCAAATAAGCTATGATGTACTTCAGATTACCCAGGAAAAGTAGCAGTTAATTTTTGAAGAGGACATGTATATTTGATGTTGTAAAATGGGGCTCTCAGTATGTTCCCCTTCTAAAATTTAGGAAAATACCACATGCAGCTCATAGAGTTACCATGCTAAAACAGCAGATTTCAAAGAACAGTAGTGGTTAGTCATTTAAAGTTCTCATAAATTATAAGAAGTACTGTACTAGGATAACATGTAATGTTGGAGGTACCCAAAATAAAACGGAACTGACCAGAAGATATGTGACTCATGTTTAGTGAAATAATTTAAATCTCTGTGTTTAGTTTAAGTTTTATGAATTTTGCTTTCTAAAGCATGAGGAGTATGAAATTAGATCTAACATACAGTACTCTGGTTTCTTTTCAGATCATATAAGTCTCTTTTTTCAATTTAATATCAATGTCTGTTTTTGTTTTATTTTCCTCTGAGTGCTTTTAGAAAATGTTGTGTAATTTTTGACTTTTTTAGAATGCTGGAGCAGTGATTGGCAAAGGTGGCAAAAATATAAAAGCACTACGTACGGATGTGAGTATTTGCAGATAAAACACTGATAATTTTGTAGAACATGGCATTTATGACAGATTATGTCCATTTCTAGGGACAGATTTTTTTATGTACAAGCTGTTGTAATACTTTTTAAATTTAGGTGTCAGATAGTCCTTTCATGCTATGATTAAAACACAGAATAAGTCATGTGAAAAAATACCTCTCCCTTGCTTTACAAAAACATTACACTAAATAGTTTATCTTATTGCCTTAATTTGACTACTGGAGAACTCACATTTCCTGTTAAAAACAATGTAGCTGTTTTGGTTGTTTTTTTTTTTAACCATATACTTTTTAAAATATATACTTTTATAGTGGGTTGACTCTTGTGAATAGACACGTTCAACACTATGCTTTGTAAAAAGCAATTTCTTTCTTTTGCGTAATCTTCAATATTTTATAGTAATGATACTGGTATAT